TCTAAAAAAAAATATTGCTACGAGATTCAACATGGTCGAAACTTATATTCCCATGCATTGCTGAGATTCATTGAATGAAATGAACAGCTCCCAGGAAAACCTCGCTCGTAATCATGAGAGATGAAGCGACACTTTAGTCTATCTATTTATGAAAAAATAATATATTGCTAAGTCAAATTTTCCAGTTAGGAAACAGTTTTCCAGAGATCTCATTGAAAATCGGTTTTTGAAAAAGTTTCTAAATATTTTCTGGTTACAGACAGAGATGCAACTGGACCGGGTGCCCGTTTCCGGTCCGGTCGAGATTTATCAACCCACCGGTCCAGCCCGTTCCGGCCAAGCGGCTGCATCGGGCCCGGCCGGCTTGGCTTGTAAGTAGAAAGTATGACAGAAAAAGCATAGTTAGTATCATTTTGTACTGCTCAAAGAAAGATAATAATTTCATTCATTATTCTCCGTTTGAAATATTCACACTTTTCAGGTCTATACGTAATGCGTGAACGTGTTGACTAATGTCTGTTATATACGGCGAGAGTGAGGAACAAATTCTTTATTCCAAATGAGAATAAATGCAAAAGGCTCACTGTTCTTATCGCAGTTACTATCCCGAAACAGTTCTTGAGAAATGCGAGTACCGGTCGCTTACCGAGCAAAAATTTCAGTTGGGTATGTCTGCTGAAAACAAAATCGGCCGCCGAAGTGGCAGAAAATTTCTGTCATTTGTTTACCTTTGGCCCTCCACGTCTATTACACAGTGATAACGGCTCAGAGTTTGTCGTTGCTGTAATTACAGAACTGAAAACACTATTTACAACCATGACATTCATTCAAGGGCGACCGAGGCATCTTTAATCTCAGGCTGCATAGGGCGAGCCGATGGTGTGTGTAAAGAAAATGATGCGTTTAATATTGTAGTAATACTATGATACATTTCTGTTTTTATTTAACGATGTTTCAAACTTTTCATTTAATAAATTATTTAACTATCTATTGTCCAGTCCGAAAAGCACTGCACTCGGACTTTTTGGTTAGCTTTCTAATAAAAAGGATGAAGACCTGCGGCTTTCATCAGTTTGTGGTAAAAAGTCTTGAATCAATCTTTTATAAAAAGGAAATTTTTGAAAATGTTTCGATAAACTACCGTAGATTGTCTAGGTGAAACTATGTTTTCTTATTCAGCGTTGACAACTCCATACAGAAAACCATAACTTTCTTCGGACCACCTTTTCTCTCCTTACCCAAGTGGCTGGGGAACTGAATGAACATTTTCTATAACATATTTTCCATATTCCGCTGTCAAATCTTTGCCTTAATTGGTATAAATTCTTGAGCTTTATGTGCTCAAATAATCATTTAAGTCTGCATACATGTCCTATCACTACGTTCTCATTTAGGCGTCGAACAAAAAACGATTGGACGGTTGGACCCACCCTAGTCAGTATTTTCTACTTATTCTATGATAGTTAATCAATATTTTTTCTACAGAGAATTTTATTTGCAAGGCCGCTAAAGACATATCAGTAAAGTTGAGTGATTTATTGTTCTGGAAATTAGACAAAATAATATATTCTGGATCGAAAAGTATAACTTACACAACTGTTCTTCAAAACTTCACTATGGTCAATTGAAAGCTGCCAGTGAATTTATCAGTAGGGTCCCCTAACAGCAGTAGAGTGTCGATCAGACTCCCATTTGGCCTGCTACTAATATTTTAGTTTTTAAGTTAGCTTTATTCAATATATGATTAGATAATTATTTTAAGGTAAGCTGATTAAGAATTAAATTAGTAAGCAGAAAGCATGAAATAATATGCAGACAAATAACGATGAGATTTTAAATGTAATGCATATTTCTTATTCAATTATAGCTCTTTCTGTTGCACATCGACCAAAGTTTTCTGGTGAATACATTTCTTCAGCTTTAGCTGGTGGAATAACAAATATTCCAGCACATGTTGCACGCATTATATAAC